ATGTTTTCTGGTTCGCTATCCTTTCTACTTTTGATTTTCCTTAATAGAATTCCTCATTTTCCCTTTATTCATTTATTCTCTTCTGTTTTTGACTACCACATTTTTTTCTTTTCTCCTTTAACATTTCTTCTCTTCTTTGCTTTCTCCCATATTTTCTTTTCCTCTTTCTCTCATATTTTCTTATCCTCTTTCTCGATTCTGTTTTCTTTTTCCTCTTCCAAAATTCGTATTTCTTTTCCTCTTTTGGTTCTTCTTCGTATTTCTTTTCCTCTTCCACCGCTTCGTATTTCTTTTTCCTCTTCCTCTTGTGATTTTTTTCCTCTTTTGGGCTTATGGTTTTTCTTTTCCTCTTCCACCGCTTCACTGTTTTCCATTTTTCTTCCACTTTCTTTTATTTCTTTTCCTCTTCCTCCGCTTCGTATTTCTTTTCCTCTTCCTGCTTCGTATTTCTTTTCCTCTTCCTCCGCTTCGTATTTCTTTTCCTCTTCCTCCGCTTCGTATTTCTTTTCCTCTTCCACCGCTTCGTATTTCTTTTCCTCTTCCTCCGCTTCGTATTTCTTTTTCTCTTCCTTTTTCGTATTTTTTTTTCTTCCACCGCTTCGTATTTTTTTTTCCTAAAATTGATCTTCGTATTTCTTTTCCTCTTCTTCGTATTTCTTTTCCTCTTCCTCCGCTTCGTATTTCTTTTCCTCTTCCATTTTTCAAATTTATTTTTCCTCTTCCTTTTTTTTTTTTTTTTTTCTCTTTCTCCGCTTCGTATTTCTTTTCCTCTTCCTTTCATCTTCCCATTTTCTTTTTTTCTTCAAAGCTTCGTTTTCTTTTCTCTTCCTCTTCTTCGTATTTCATTTTTCCTCTTCCACTTGCTTCGTATTTCTTTTCTTCTTCCGTTCTTTCTTTCGTTTTTTTTTTTCTTCCTCCGCTTGTATTTCTTTTTCTTTTTTCTTTTTATTTCTTTTCCTCTTCTTGGACTTTAATTTTATTTTTTTCTTCATTTTTTTTCATTTCATTTTTTTTTTTTCCTTTTTTTTCTTTTTTTTTTGTTTCTTTTTTTTTTTCTTTCTTTTTTTTTCTTTAATTTTCTTTCTTTCTTTCTTCCCAAATTTCTTTCTTCTTTCTTTTTTTTCTTTTTTCTTTTTTTTTTTCTTTTTTTCTTCTTTCTTTCTTTCTTTTAAATTTTTTTTTTTTCTTTCTTTTTTTTTTTTTCTTTTTTTTTTTTTCTTTCTTTTTTTTCTTTCTTTTTTCTTTCTTTCTTTTTTCTTTCTTTCTTTTTTGAATACTCTTAATGTATAAACAATAAAATAACGATTTCTGAATTTCAAAATCAGAAGCGATATTGGCCCAAACTACAAGTCAATGTTAAAGTTCCAACATATGCCCTAGAAAATTATCCGAAACCCTCAGTTAGTGAATTTACAATGTAATGATTAGAATTATTTAAAATCATTTTTAGAAATGTTATAGATATGTTTTACTTAAATAAATTTGGAAGTAAAACATCAAATATATGAAATCCTCTTCAAAACTATAGACTTTAACTTTTTTGCACCAGTAAAAATAAATTTTCTCCACTATAATTTAATCAAGAGGAGGTTAAAATCTTTGAATCTTGAAGATGCCAAATACAATAGGCCAAATAAATAGACGTATTAAATTGACTCTACGAGAAAATAACAAACGTTAGTTCTATAATGTCTAATTGAATTCATTTTTTTCATATACTTGATGCCGGAAATTGCAAAGAAATCACTGGCTATATGAGTGCATATGTGCACATTCTGTCAATGATGATTAGGATTGATGAAATCTTGTTACATCAAGATCCAGATGGTAATGGTAATATTAGCCGTTTCCTTACAAGGAAACATTTGGCATCCATTGATGATCAGTTAAAATTTATAAAATTTTTGTCGTAAAAATTTTTTATCAAATCTACTGCTATTGCTCTTTCAACTATTAAGGGGGAGGGGGGCTTCCTTCCTAACCTTTTGTTTAAAGTAGAGGAGAATATCAACATTAATGGTTATGCCATTATTTTCACTTTGAGATACATGTGCTATCCATTTTAGTTGTTGCTGCTGTTGAAAGTCCTCAAGGGATGTGCTTTCTGCTATTTACATTTGCTCAAAGCCATTTTTTAATCATTGATCTGAAGATGTGGTTGTATTCAGCTAAAAGTTAAGATATTTCTGAATAGGTTTGTCGCTATGCATGACATCCATGTGAAAGTCTCAATCTGACAAGGCTAATTAAGAATATGACTTTAGTTTTCAAGTTAATGTTTTAGTTTTGTAGGAATTTATAGTGTTGCACAAAACTAGCCCTAGAATAGCCTATTTTATGTTCAGTTTCTTTATCTTCTATACTAATTTTTTTATAACTGATCCTTACAATTGAGGTATTTGCATTGTTTAGTATTTACTAATTCCAATAACTGAATTGTAATGATAAATTCAGGGTACGTGCCATCATTGCTTTCATTGTAATCCCAGATCAAATTTATTTTTCTTGAGTCCTATTTCTTGTAGATTAGGATATATGACATGTACGCTTCTTAAGTAGGGTAGATATACTTTACTCTAATGGCTTCTTGTAGCTTAATCGTAAATCATGCTTAGCTAGAAATGGGTTTCTCAGATCAAAAATGAATATAGATCTGATTTCTGTTGGGAGCACGTTTTCTTTATGACTTTTATCTATGAAATTCCTGTGAAATGAAGATGATGAATATATGAAAATTGAAGACAAAACTCAAATAATATATTATAAAGTGAGTGGCCATGATTAAATGTAAAATGAATGACAACTACCCAACAAACAGACTTGGCAATGTTTGAATTAAGCAATAACAAGAAAAATGAACATGGCAAAAACATAATATAAAGCAATTAAACAATATATGCTAGGCAAATTAACAGTAATAAGGCAAAGCAATAAAAGTTCATAAACTAAGAATTAGGGTTGACATGCAAGAGTAAGTTCGGACAAGCGAACGTAGTGTTTTGATTTCAAGACAAGACGGACCAGGACTGAGTCATATGAAACCAAGAACTTGCCTTTTTATTGGCTAGGAGTAAATCCTTGCATTCATTTACATGCTTTTGCCTATAAATTGAGGAGTGGAAACTATTTTGCAATCATTCTCAATTAGAATTTATCTCATGGCTATTTTTGTAGGTTCCCTGTGAATATGCCGTATTGTGGTATATTGGATTGAATGGTGATGGATGAGTTCTTGTAGTGAATAAGTAAATTGCAGTGAACGAATTGGCCGGGAATCTGATTAGCTAGGTTTAGGATAGTTAATTTGAAACAGCCCCTCCCTGTTTCTCTTTTGTACTCATGCCCAAATTGTTTTTGTTTGTTTTTTTGTTTTTTTGTTTAAAGCAAAAATCAATATAACCATTTATGATTGGAACCAACATATATAATATTCTTGTGCTTTTGTCCCGACATGGTTATAACATTTATAATGAAAAAAAAAAACATTTTCCTCTCTGATGAAAAGATTTAAATTTATTCTATTTAAGAACATTCAATTTTCAGCACTCGATATATATATGAAGAGAAGAAATACATTGAAAATACTTTTAACCTCCACCAATAGCCGAATTATTTCATATTCAATGTGAAGAAATAAGATTCATCAAATATATCAAAATAGACGAGCGGACTATTCTGACAAAATTAATCAATCAAAATATATTATTCTACGCACCAACTCTGCCATAACTTTGACTGAAAAGAATTCATCTGAGCTTACAACTATTTCTAAAACAATAAAAGACTTAATACAAAATAATAATAATCTAAAATTTCAGGGAGAAATTTAATCTATCACCTGTAATAATTACCACAAAGAATACATAGGTGAAACCTCAAGGAATTTAAATAAATTATTATATGAACAAAAACGGGATATTTTATAAAATAACACACTCAGTATATTATTCGCTAACAGTAATGTGTATGACCATAATGTTGACTTTTTGTTTTAATAAAAAGAGAAAGCAGTTTACTAAGACGATAGTGTATAGAAAGTGCTTAAATTGCTAAATCATCCACAGTAAATTTAGATTTAGATTTTTACATCATTTCACTTTTCTTGGCAGATCATTCATTATCACAATGTAGAATATTTAACAACAAAAATGAAAATGAAATCAAGGTAGGCTATATACCCAACCATATATTTGTTTTTGTTTTCTTTATTTAATAATTTAAATTGAAGAATTCATCGTCCCCTCTTCATCATGCGTATGTGTACTCTAATAATGTAAATATCACTTTAGTCCGAGGAAGTCCTAAAGACATAGGAGATATAAAAACACAAGCATCGGTCATAATTGTTTCACCGAGGGGGCTCTTGAAAATGTTGGAACAGTGGGGTTTTATCAACTTAGACATGTCTTATATATATATATATATATATATATATATATATATATATATTTATATTTATATATATATATATAAAATTTTCTGTATTCCAACATTCTCAGTGATCCCTATCAGTACATTATTAAAACCGTTGATTGCCTTTTTACATCTCCCGCTCTCCTTACACCCGTATATACACTGATGAGCCACCTTAGTAAATTAATTACTTTTTGTTAATTTTACTGCCAAATCGAAAGTGATTAACAGTACGCTTTTCTCAATATATTTTATGATCTTGAAGGTTGCAAATCAAATTACAGCGTTTTCGTTAATACTGTATGGTGGATAATAATGCTTCTAGTGATGTTGAAAAAGGCTATGCAAAAATACTGGGTCATTTGTTAAAATTTCACCTTTCAACTTTATTCTTAAGTTAAAAAGTAATTTCTTTTGTATCTTTATTATTAGAGAAACTACAAAACCTCAACGAATAGTTAGAAATTACTGGTTTTGGTTCAAATACTTCCTTCAATTCAGTGTGACATTGAATGGAACAAGATACAGATTTTCTTATTGGAAATCTTTTCCCTTTCTTCTTCGCTGGAATCACAAAACTCTTTGACATTGCCTGGATTTTGTTGGAGCATTTCTTTCTTCATTTCCTACCGCAATGTTTCACTTATATTGAGATCAGGACTTTTTGCCAGCCAGGGGAAAAGTTGAATTCTTTTTTTTTCTTTGCTATTTATTTGTTTATATATATATATATATATATGTATAAAGAAATATAGTCTTAAGGTGTGCTATATTTATGGAATAAAGTGCTCAATATCAGATAGAGCGTGTAAATATAAAGAGAACATTTTTTCAACACTTAGGGCGACAGTCTGTTTCATGCTATATGCAATCAGGCCTGACGATTGCTTTATAACATATGAAACATATTTCAAAGAGCTAACTCCTATTTCACCAATTCAGAAAAATGAAAATGTCAGTGTGTCACAGTTTTCAACTTTACTCCTAGAGGCCGTAACTCAACATATCACACCATTCTGGAATCAAGCCGACTCCGTGAGCAAATAAAAAAAAAAAAAAAAAAAAAAAACATCCCGGGATGGATTTGGACCCGTAATCCTGAAATTTTGGATTGTTTTCGGTGATTTTTTATGTGATTTTTTTTTTTTTTTTTTTGTGATTACAATTTTTGGAAATAATCGAAATTAATGGCGAAATCCAACGAAAGTCACCCATGAAATAAAAATAATTGTTTGTATTGAAAGTAAGGACCTACATACATCAAATTGTTTTTAGATTAAGTGACGGTAGAAGAATTATCCCTGAACTTTTTCAATATAAGCTTAAATATTAATGCAGTGCTTAAATGCAGCGATCAATTTTGAGTTCTTCCTCTGTAGTTTATTTTTGCCTATCGCATCCACTCCTCCCTACGGATTGTGGTGAAGGCCCAATGAAGTTCCCTCCGATAGGGAGGCTTTTAAGCTATTAGGTACCCCCACAGAAGAGCGACACCTATAAATATATATTGCCCATTGTTTTTTATAAATTTCATTTTCTGACCCATATAAGATTGCTTACTCTTGATAGAAAGAGTTTCACTTTAGAACACTTTTTAAAAAACCTTTTGGCTATTTATTTTTGATAGTGACGTTCATAAAATTTAAATTCTATCACTTTTTTGTAAGCAAATGAGCCATGATCTCATTTCTGGGTTGTTGTCATATATTTTTAACAAGAAAAATATGTTCTAACTGAAGTCATAATTGAACAGATATCTTCTTTGTTATTTTTACATAATTCAGATCATTTTTTTTAGTACAGTCACGAATGTAACTTTTCTTTACTTCAGTTCCACTTCTTTGACCCTACATTTTAACTCCATCAGTTTT